CGTTGCGACTGAGTCAACACTTTGATATAGCACTGTTTCTGCCATGTAATGATCAAGAAGGGTGGTGGGAGCATAACATACCATGCGAGCAAGGAGCTTCAATTGAAGAACGCATATCTTCTGAAAAAAAGGCTTAAGTAAGAAGAAATAGTTTAGGAACTCAACAATGATCCCTGTATTTTCTCTGAACATGGTGGATTACCTTGGATTTTTGAATCACTTGTTGTTCGCCTGATGTTGAAAATGAGGAGAATCAAGAAGTACGGTATAAAATTGACACATGCAGATGATGCGAAGGATCTAGAAATGTCTTAGAATAGAAGGTGCAGAATAATCGCTGGTTCGATCGCGCTATTATGCCTCACTAAGTTTTCTATCCCTCCGAGACCGGAAAATCTCTACCAAGTTTGTCTGGGGGAATAGTAACACTAATAATACAAATGTGTCGATTTCTTGTTCAGCAATCGCAAGGTTTTTAAACAGCATACATTTACTTCCATATAAAAACACAATACAATACAACACTAGCTGACGTTTCGGCAGTATCGCCTTCTTCAGAGCCTGGAAGGGTATACTGATATACAATCTACTAGGCCAAACGCTTCAATAATACTGACACAAAGACGAAAGGCTCTTTGATAATTACACGATCAACAACTTCTCGAAAAACCCACCGCTTTTTTCGTGACTTCCAATGAGCAAGTTTAGAACAGCTGATTATAGTCGCATGTGGTTGACGACTGGACCATCCCACATCAAAAATCGGTGCGAACGTACGGGATCAGGTCGCGCATGACCTCCGGGCATTCATCCCTGCTATTCATTGTAGGGTTTTTGGCATTGATCCAAAAAGCCTCAAGGAGTTTTCGCGCTGGTGTTTTGGACTCCTGTGGAAGGATATTGACTTTTACTTCAAAATCGTCTCTGCTATGCTTTTGTATCCTATGCTTCGCTAGTGGGGTTTTGTCTTGTTTTTCGTTTGCCATCTAGATGTTCGTTTATACGGATACACAAAGGTCTGCCCGTTTCGCCAATATATTCATCTCCGCAATTATTACAAGAGATCAGGTATATCGTACCTGAACTCATGCAATCACCGTCCCTGCCGTAAGAGCAGATTACGCAATTTGTTGTTTCACACAGACGGTCATACAGGCGGTTGCGAATTAATTGGCGACGTAGAGTAGCCGGTGGTATTTCAACTATCGCTACCGATTCCTCTAGACTTGCCTTTCTTAAGCATCGTTTTATAGCTACGCTTACTTCATCGCTTATAAAAGGCAACATGAACGAGACTTTCTTTTGGCCAAGTGTTTCGCGTGGGCGCGTCGTTCTCCTTGTAAACTTATCTCGTGTGGTTACTATTTCGTAGCCATTGGAGATGGCTATTTGCCGAGCCAAGTCGCGCGATTCTTCCTTTAGTTCCCCGGTAGTGCACACAGAGGTGGCTGTTCGAAACATGTTTCTCACAATCGCCCTCTTTGTGTGTGAAGGGTGGGAAGAAAGGAAATGAACAAGGATGTTCTTGTTACTTGGCTTTCGATATCACTTTGTCAGGTGACCGCTACTTGATAGGTTTATTTGGACGTCCAAAAACGGAAGCCAGTTTTCTCTCGGTTTCTCCCGGGTGAACTTTATGTACTCGGACAGGTCGTTCAATAATTCAAAGCATTTGTCCATCTCCTCCTGCGTAGAGAAGACGACAAAACAATCATCTACATACCTGCAGTAGAGTAGTGGCCGGAGATGGAGAACAGGAGCTTCTATCTTAGACATATAGACAATGGCAAGGCTTGGTGCCAATCGCTGTCCCATTGCCAACCCTTATTTGGGCGAAATGATTCCCAGACCATCTGAAAATCGAGCAGTTTAGGCACTCCTTTAAAAAAAAATAAGGAACTTACATGACTAAGTGGTGTCTGAAAAGATAGGAAAAGTTAAAAATGTGGCAGGCTGGAAGAATGTATTGAAATGAATACTAAGCACTGATTTTTGAAGTCCTTGTGGCGTCAGTGAAGCTGTTTTGCAGAGCACTTTTAAACTAACACGTTCATAGAAACGCGAAGACATGATCGTCTTGACATGCTGGTGCTTCTAATGCTATTCTATGAATGTATTCCGTATAAAATTGCTTGATTCTAATCCAAGCAGTCGATGCACTAAGATGCTAAGATGATGAGTTATTGTTAACAATAAAGTGATTCAAAAGAACGACTTAGAACGACTTTCTACAAAACTCGGATTAATAGTCGCCTTACCTTTGTGTTTCTTCTAACGGTTTACCGCTTCATCGGGGCTTAGAGGTGTTCCCGGATGCCGCTGTACCGTGGGTTTCACCCTGTTTGCGAGGTCTTCCAAGCTGAGGAGGACTCCAACCTTTCCATCAGGAAGCCTACCTATGGGTAAACCCATACCAAGATCCACCACCGTGCTGGCATCAAATTGGTCACATGGAGGCAAACCTCCCTCTGATTCATGGGCTGCAAATACCTATGGTGGTGAAGACCTGAGGATGACTTTGGCTACGTTGACCTCGGGATTCCAGATAGCTACCGTGGCCTTACTAGTAAATCTCCGAAAAAGTGGAGATTACACTGGTGTCCGCACAACCAGTGAAGATGAGCTATTCAAGCATCAAGCGATTATCTATATATGTTCCCACGAACTGCTCTTGTTGAACTGATGCGAAGTTGATTCGTTTCATTGGGGTTGTTGTTGGGGTTGTTCGACGGCTGACGTTTCGTGGATTTCGCCTTCTTCACAGCCTGGACGCATTTCATGTAACAATAGCCCTATGAATCGGCGAAATATCTGCGGTTTTAGCGAAGATCTGACACATTAATGAACGCCATGTTGTTTAACAAGTATTCGCCATGCTGTTGGAAGTTGAACCAGCCGTGTGCTGTTCACTTGGGATGACGTGTAAGATCCACACATATCAAAAATCAGTTTGAAATAAGGTGCCAGGACAAGAGTGATAATGAGGCATTCGTCCTTCTGGTCTATCTGTTAACCTTTAAAACCTATAGAAAACGGTTCAAGAACTATTCACGTTGATGCTTTTGATTCCTGATTTGGGATTCAGGCAGTCACTTCAAAATATTCACGATTATGCTTCTGTGCTCAGGCTTGTGCTATCAGTCTTGATGTGAGTTCCCACGTAAAGTACTCAATGGAGCACTTACAGCAAGCGGATCTGAGGAAGGCGAAATCCGCTGAAAGGTCAGCTTTTTCGCAAATAAAGAACAAAGTGACAATTTCGTGTGTTGAGACGTTTGCAAACTAGCTGAGAGAGAAGCAAAACGTAGTACGTGCATGGTGTGGTGCTGAACAAGAAAGCCCTTGGAAAGGGTAATTGCGCGTTCGTTTCCCACCACAGACACCGTCGCTCCCAAGTTTCACAAATGTCTCAGCATCATTGTATTTGAATTCGCATAATACCCCGCACTGAATATTTTAGTAGGCAGTAAATACAAATTGTTGACCTTTTATTTTCTGCCTACTAATATTTTTCACGGGAGGTTAAGATGTGAGATACAACACAACAATGCTGACATTCGTATAACTTGGCCAGATCGAACCACAATTTCTCTTTCTGGGGCTTCGCGCATTACACACTGCACCACGGAGGCCCTTGCTCTTCGTTCTCTCAGCTAGATTTATACCTAACGTTACCATCAGCAATGAAACGTCAGCGCGATTGACTTGCGGAGCAGAAATTGGCATTGAACGGAGTTAAACTGAGGCCGTGGTGCAGTGTGTTATGCGCGAACATCCAGAAAGGAAAATCGCTGTTCGATCTGGCATAAGGGTCCAAGTTTTGCGAATACCTCAGCATCGCTGTGGTTGTATTTTACATCATACTCTGCCGTGAATTGTTGTAGTAGGCAGAAAATAAAAGGTTAGAATTGTGATTTAGACTACAGCCTCAACAAAACTAAGTTTAATGCAGATTTGTGCTAACCAGATCAATCCCGATGACGCGCGATTGCTCATGGCAACGTCAGGTAGAAAACTAGTTGAGAAAAGCGCCGAGCAAGGTCTTCCGTGGGACAGTGTGTAATGCACGAGCCTCCAGAAGCGGAATCGTGGTTCGATCTGGCCCGAAGTCCAAATTCTTGTAAACTCGACTCATGGAACAAATTCTTCTCAATGAACTCCCCGAGCATTTCCGTATTTATTGTTCCGGCAGTGTAAGGCAGAAAATGTAGCTGTGGACAGGATTCGAAGAAGTCTCTCCCACATTTCCACTTTCAAGTTCCGACATAGGCCTCTTATGTGAGGTCCTATGCACTATATCCTTGCGAGTTATTGTGTCCTTGAAACTAATTCCCACAATTTTTGATTGATGTTTTAGAGGATGTTTCAAATATTCATCACACCGTTTGCAGTTATTTCGCTATTAACTTTTTCCGTATAGAATTTCCATCGTCTTCATGCAATCTACACCTCGTGCACATTGTTTGCATTCCTAGCAGTCCTTACTGTCTTCACAAACCTGTTTCCATATTGCTGGCATTCGGTCGAAACGTGCTTACCACGTTCTGTAGCAAATATGGAGCTGCGATATCTTGGATTTTTCTACGACAGTCAAGAGAGTGGCACTTCCAATGGATTACAAAAACTTTTTATAATAGTGCTGATTCTATTTGTTGTGCTATCGCTGCATCTCTTTTTTTCCTATACCTGCTGAACATATGCGTTGTTCTCCGGAGTGATCCTGTGGCCAACATAGCATTCATTTACAATTATGTATGTTTCATCATCCAACAAATCCTTCATGCATTTCATCACTACTGGCTTGGCCAAACCATCGGTGTCGGACGAAGTTTTGCAAGTTTGCGCTGGCAATCTACGTCTTTCCTACGCAACGTGGAAAACTCCGCTTGCATGTGCCTCTTACGTGGGATATACTTCCTTTACATCATATCATGCTCGAAACAAGGCGTACTTAGTTCGTTCATCATTGAAAATGCCGTCGATAAGCACAGAACACTTATGCGAATGCACTGTTTGAATTTTAATTTCGCTGTAGAGCATTTTAAACACAAAAGCGTCGTTCCATGTGGGAGCTAAGGCATGTTGACAAAACGAAGCGCAGAGTTCTCGACTCGTTGAAAGTATGCTAGCAGTGACAGCTATCACGACCGTCACAGCTTCATCGCTCATATGTGCTTTTACTTCCTCACAAATATAACACATACGGCGCAACGGTAACTGACGTTTCAGCAGTATCGCCCTCACCATAGGCTGGAAAGGTACACAAACGTGTAATTCACTCAATGAAACGCTTCAACAGCGCAAAAGGAAAAATAAATAACAATAATTCGCGATCACCTGCCATTATTGAAGTTATACTTCACAGTGTACCCTGCTACTAAAAAGAATACGCAGTAAATAAAACGGTTAAGATTTTGATTGTAACTAAAGCCCCAGCTTAGCTGGGTTCACTGCCGATTTGAGCCCCCCAGATCAATCCCGTTGACTGGCGATTGTTGATGGCAAGTGATCGATAGAACTAGCTAAAAGACAAGGAAAACGAAGTACGTGCATGGTGTGGCGCGGAGCGCCTTAGCCCCCGGAAAGGGTAGCGGGGTGTTCGCTCCCCAGCGCATACAGAAAGATGAAAATCTTAACAATAATTACACGACCACCGGTCATCATTGGAGTTATACTTCACAGTATACCGTGCTACGAAAAAGCATACGCAGTAAATAAAAGGGTTAAGATTGTGATTATAACTAAGACTCAGCTTAACTGGGTTCAATGCCGATTTGGGCTCACCAGATCAATCCCGTTGACGGGTGATTGCTGGTGGCAAGTGATCGATGGAACTAGCTGAGAGACAGGCAAAACGAAGAACGCGCATGGTGTGGCGCGGAGCGCGTTAGCCCCCGGAAAGGGTAGCAGAGTGTTCGCTCCCCACCGCAGACACCTGGAGTTCTGTGTTTTGCAAATATCTCAGCATCATCTTGGTCATGCCTTTGTTAAGGAAGTAGAAAAAAATGAGGATCTGCTCCATGTCGCCGTTGCCTATTCCAGTTGACTACTGTAATCGTACAGTTATACTTCAGTTAATTTCTGTCAAGTCAACACATGTAAACGTCAAGCAGCGACGGCTGTTTATCATTATGGTTGACTACGCGACGTAGCACATTGTTCTTGAAAACACAATAACCAGCGATTGAATGAAATGGTGTTGACGGAAAATTTCATTAAGGCGCAATCATTCTTATTTTCATGCTGTCAACTTTGGTATAGCTCTGTCGTTTTATTTTGTTGTAAGTCACAGGCAGGAAGCTATGTTAGTTTTATTTCAGTAAAGCTGGGTTTCTTATATTCTTCGCACTTGTGCATATATTTGAAAGCATACACATATCTGTGACGTCATACTGCTGTTGAGCAACTCTGTATGTCGTAGCATAGCGATGAGATTCCTCGTAAGTCCTACGTCGTTTCAAACATCGTCCATTATTGGTCGTTTATCTGCCATTACTCTGCCGTACTCTGCCATTACACCATTCCTGTTGGTACGGCTCGCTGATATAGGAATACCGAGTAGTTAAGACGATTTGGTCGGAATTTGCTGCTCGCCTTTGTGTACGACATGCGGGACTTCTTGTTAGTAGCAGTCATGAAACCGGACACCTTAAACTTGGGTATTTAAACCGTTTGTTGTAATTATACAACAATTATAACAATACAACTCTACAAATAATGTGGCAATGATAGGGGTGATGAGTAGGCGCAGCCTGATCACTGGTGTTCAAGCAGCTTATGAGTGAAGAGATTGGCATATGACTTTTACTACATGAGATGGATGTGAGGCACGAATGCGGTGTCATGTAGCAGCATTGCTGTTAGATGAGCTAGAGCACTTTATATACCTTTGCGCTCGGCGGAGTCAGATTACAGTAGGCTGAGTCGGGCTGCAGTAGGCAGAAAGACGGGTGCTGGAAACATTTCTCAAAGCTTGCAATTTGATAGGGCGATATTCAAAGCCTAGGACCGTATAAGTACAGTTATTTTACGAGATAGGCGCCAGCGAAATCTTAGACAAACCATTATCATATGGTCATGGAGAGAAGGTCATAGAAGAGGCATATGAAATGTTTGGAAATCTTAGAATTGATTTACATAGAGAACATTCTAATATTCGTGAAGAATGTTCTCTATAATTCCTCTGAAGTTTCCCGACATAGTCTGCCTTATTGTATAATTTGAAGTAGCGTCTACAGTTTTGGATCATCAGCCTTAATTAACTTGTGTTTTTTGCATAACTATAACGTTATGCATTGTCAGTAACACAGCAAGATCTCTCATCTAAATCTCAGTCATACCAGCTATCTTTTCGTCTGAGGTACGCGAACAGAACGCACGACTGCACATCTCTGGATGTTAGCAAACTGAAATCATATTCGTTTAGAATAAAAAGGGAGAATAACACAGATGAGTCATGTGAGGGAACCTCGACAGTGACTGCACAATTGAAATATGCATTCAGTCGTCTCTCCGATGCTTTATTGTAGGAAAAGCGTAGCTTATCCGCAAGCAGTTGATCAACACCGACCGATTTGTTCTTGTATTTACCCTTTCGTCATGGCAATGATCGCATATTTTCAACGAGACTTCAAGAGGTCAAGAACTCTGCGCGTCGTTTTTAACATGCCTTAGCTTCGACTAGGGACGTAGACGGTTTTACTTTTAAAATGCACCACTCTCCACAGTGTAACAAGAAGAACGTCTAAAGAACGTCACATTGGTGCCTATGGATTAGAATTAAACGCACAGGCTAAGCGGCTTTTCGACTTTATCATGACGACCAAAAACATCCGAGGTAAGTCGCAATTCCAGATCCACCACCCTCGATGCTGTGGGTGGGAGTCTCAAAGTGCCGTGTACCACAACGAAACAAACCACATCATAGTAAACCGAAAGTTTTCTCTTACCGATGTAGCTGTTGTTCGAAAATTACACAGAGGACCGGACCATCGCCTTTTTCGTGCAAAATTCTATTGCTCGCGGAAAGGAGAAAAAACCGTCAAATTCAAAAAACGAAGTCCCAAAACTGCAATAAACTGGAACTTATTCAATTTGATAGTCGGCTTTGGGAGGATGCCGTTTTTGAGAAGAACACGATCGGCTCATTCAACATCTTCACATTAGTGCTATGAAAGTTGAGATTTCGAAAGTCACCAAGAGACGTCTAACTCCAGAAACACTCGACCTGATACGCGTGAGCTGCAGGAACCGCGAACTGAGTCCGAACTTGGAAAATAGTGCAGACAAGCGATAAGGGAACATTTTGAAGAGAAAAAAGCAGCACTTTTGGTCGAAACATCAGAAGATGTGAAAACCATTAGAAACACCCACCGAAACTTCTCCAATTAGAAGACCAAGATGATCGCACCCAGACGGAACAGTTACCGCGTCCAAAAAGGCAATGGGTAATATTATTTACGAATACTGCTCAGATCTCTTCGATTGACACGTACACCTTTCGTTATGTGAAATAAAGAAGGATGGATATGTTGTGCCACCGGTTCTCCTTTCCAAAATCCGACATGCCATTTCGTCGGTGAAAAATCCAACAGCACCAAGTCTGGACAAGGTAAGACCAGAAAACTTGAAGAACCTCCCGCACGTCCTCGTAAGCACACTGGCTCGGCTCTTCACACGTTACCTATCTGAATGCAAGGTTCCTACTCATCGGGACCACTGGACCAGACAGAACACTGGACCAAGAACAGCCACGTCAGCAAGCAGCGCCTTGAAAATGATTTAGTGCCACATCCACACGATAACAAGGCTTATTGAAGTATTGAGAGAGTACAAAAAAACGCGCTGTCTCACCTTCATCGATTTAAAAAGATCTTTGATTCAATTGAGATAAAAGCAGTCATGGAAGCCCTTGATACTCAAGTAGTCTTTACACAGTACATGAAGATTTTTCCTGAGCCGTACAATTATTTCACAGCCAAGATATCACCATTCTACAGCGATATTACCTTTGACGCCAAAAGAAGAGTTACGCAGGGCGATACCATCGCGCCAAAATTATTCGCCGCCACCCTCGAGAACGTCATGCGAACATTGGAATAGATAATATGGTAATGAAAACCGATGGTCGGCAGTTACATCATTTTGGCTTTCCTCTTGACATCGTCCTTATAACACCAAACATTAGCCAAGCTGACGTATGCTTGACGACCTTGATAAAGCTTGTGGAAAAATTGTTCTTCGACTAAATCTTACAAAAACGATGCTCACGAAAAACGGATTGGTTTCGTATGCCCCATTGACGCTCAACGGAATGTGTACCTCTGAATGCTCCAGTTATATCTAACTAGGTCGGAAAATCAATATGATACACGACCTAGGTCCAGAGCTGAGCGGAAGGAAGCTTTCAAGAGCATCGCGGATGTAGTGAGGAGAACAAAGAACACCTCCGTGCCCACCTTTTCGACTCAATGGTACTTCCTGCCCTAATCTATGCGTCGGATCCCTGGTCGCTGCGTAAGCAGGATGATAGGTCACTCAGCGTTATCGAATGCGCAGTCGAAAGGACGATGCTAGGAGTATCCCGTCCCAGAAAAGTAAAGAATGGGATCCGAGGCTCCGACCTGCGTCAGCGATCAAAAATCAAAGGCGCCGTTCTGTATGCCAAACAGCCGAAGATAAGGTTTACCGGACACCCTAATGCGTATGCACGACAACTAATGGACAGGAGTCGTTAGTAACTGAATTCTCCGGGATGTTAAACGCACTGCAGGGACACCACCTAATCCGTCGTCATCGAATCACTCTAAGATCAACGGAACTGCAGGAGATACACGTGACTGTTTTTATTAATTGAGCTATCGCTACACCTCCTTTCTTTCTTTCTATGCGTGCTGATCAAATGCCTTATTCTACAGGTCAAGCTCTCGGCCAACATATCTTTCATATACAGTTGTGCATGTTTCATCGTCCACCAAATCCTTCATTTATTTCATCATTAGTAGTTCGGCCAAATCATCGGTGTCGGAGAAGTTTTGCAAGTTTTCATTGCCTTTGTATACCTCTACAACGGATTGTGAGAAAAGTCGCTTGCTGTGCCTCTGATGTGAGATATACAGGTGATATAACGTCATTCTTCTGAACAACGCCAAAGTATTTTCAATAGGTGTCTCTGCTTTACGCGTATATACTGTTGCCTTCGCTTTTGATAAATTTAGTAAGTAGAATACGAAGATGGACTATTCAAG